TTGGGGTTTTGAGGTCTTGAGATGTCGAGTCTTGGACTGGATGCTGGGTTGCAGCGTAAGCCGCGCATGTCCGGAAACTGGAAACTACTATATTTGGCGGGGTTGTAAAAGGTCTTGCATATGATTTGATAAAGATCCATAGTTCTATGTACAAAAGGCAACCCTAAACCCTAAACCCTAAATCCCAAACCCTGAACCCTATGTGTTGGATCACCCTGGGCCAACATTCAGACAAGCGTCATCGGTTGCAGATCACGTTTGTGACCTATGATGGAGCTTGGATTGATTAGGCCTCTGCCGGGGGTGGTAATGATGTACAGTGCAGATCAGAACAGAGAGATTGAGTTAGGTGGGAAGGCTGCTTACGACATATCACTGATGGTATTAATTAGAAGCACTGAAGCCAGCTTCTAGGTGTCGTTTCTTCCTTTACCAATCCATACCGGGCGTTTCGTTGAGGTATGTTAGACTAAGATCCCTGGCAGGAACTCACCATGAAGCATGGTTGTTTCCCGTCAGGTTTTTGCAGGGCATTCCGAGTGTCGATAGCGGTCAAGAGGGTTTTTGGACGCTCTCAACTGCGCGGCCTCTCATTCGCGAATTCCACACGGTCCGAAAGTTTAGCGCATAACCACCTACAGGTTAGCATTAGTTGGCCTGTCACTTTGTCTTCTCTGTAGGTGTTCAGCTTAGCTCAGTACTAGCAGAAGAACGCAACTCTCACTGCAAAATCTTGACCCGGGCTATGTTTCCGAACAGCCCTGCACACTGAACCACGTGGCTGGGAAATACAGGGAGACACAAGGATTTCGCAGAAAGTGCTTTATTACGGTTCCTTTTTACTCTAATCTCCGCCTGTTCTTTTTGGATGTATAAGCCCTCCATTGCACCGTGCTGAGGACGATCCATCATATTCCCCCTCAAAAAACCTTAAAGCAAGCAGGGAGAGTGTTACATGAAACAAGCCTAAAGAGGAGGACTTTGAGGAATGTAGATCTCAAGACAGATCAGCCTCCAACATGTTAGCCCCACGGCCACCTTTGCAGGAATCAGCTGCAAGTGGGGTGCTGGCCCTAACTTCCATGGCCTGGCTCTGTTTGGGATTGAAAGAGAAAAGTCTGAGTAGGCCTCATTTCGTTTGGTGTTTGCCCGCATGTGTAAACGGTAGAGAGGCGCACACCAGGAACAGTCCCCATGCAGCAACGGATTCAGTCGAGCTGGTAGGATTTGAGATGTCTCGCTACGCAAGCTCCAATCCTCATACAGCCAGTAAGCGCTGGACAATATCCTTGAACCCTTGCCATAGTCGAAGCATGACTTCGCCCATGTTACGACCTCGGGGTTTGGACTGCTCAAGAAGCCCGTGTAAGGAATTCTTCTTATTGTACTATTGTTGCTATCTTTCTTTCTATTGTTCAAATAGTGTCAGAGCCATCACTGTTGTTGTTATTGGGGCGTGGCTTTTCCAACATTCTGCTCAGGTGGGCTTCCTGTGTTGCCAGTTGTCTCGAGCAACGCAGGGAGACTTTGCCACTTTCAGGCCACCACCTCTTGCGCACTAACAGTTTCTGGCCTATCAGGGTTCCTTGGGGCTTACATTGGGCAGCGTACTGCATTTGTATTGGAGTTTGCTTTAGTGTCAGAGGTGGAGTTTGTCCAGTCATGATCTCAGCATCTGCGGGGCCTCAAAGGAGACTCACATCTCAAGGCATAGCTTGCTTTCTTGTAGGACTGCACGCTGCGTGCCTTTCTTCTGCAAAGTAATGCCTTGCAGCAGGTCTTCTCAGGTCTCCGACTATGTGAGACAAGTCAAGATCTTCAGATCCTCAATTCTGAAATGTGTGAGCACAGGGCAAAAACCAGCTCTGATTTTCATGGAGTTTGCAGGATCGATCGTTTCTGTTTTGCTCGGCGATGCTCAGTGGATTATGGAGTTTGGCCGAAGCATGAACTGTGCGCTTTTGATGATCAAGTCGCCCCTCTGCGTGTTTTTCTTTCAGTGGTCCCTGGCATTTCGCCTGAAGATGTGCAGATCTCTTGTTTGACTTGTCTGTGCAATTCTTGCAAGTCTGGATGCAAGAGTGTTCCGGTCTGGTCACGCAACCTTAGGTCTTTCAGGTCAACCAACCGGATCCACAATGTCCAAGAATGTCCTCCAGAAAAGCGCGGGTCTGACTTGCCTGGCATGGATAGCAGCCCTCATGCCTCTGAGCAAGCCGCGTCTGATTCCCATGAGCCCAGTCGAATGACTTGCCCTTAAGCCAGAGGTTCCCAAGTGCCCAGAAGTTCAGACGCAGCAATCTGAGGCACCTCAACAATAAATTTGTCTTAGGATGAGAAGTGAGTAGAAAATATCAAAGGGACCAATCGGAGTAATTAGCGACCATTGTGCCAGTAGTGACTGCTAAGCAATCATAACCAGAAGGAAGAAGGCGTACGTACCTACGTAGGAGTGGCAGCAGTAGAAGTGGAAGAAGTAGTACAAGAAGTCGTCGTAGTAGGCGTCGTGGTGGTGGTGGTGGTGGTGGTGGTGGTGGTGGTGGTGGTGGCGGCAGCGGCAGCAGCAGTCGTCATACCAGACCATGAAAGCAGGCTTGGCCGACCTGCTATGCCAGATGCAGACGACTCCGCCCAAGAAAGTTGAGAGGCGATGCTGTCTGTGGGTATTCAACCTGGGAATTCAGCGGTTGGGGTTCATGTTTTGCGTGTTTGACATGCAGCTTTGGGGTTTGGGGTTTAGAGCTAGGGCTCTTGATGGTGCTGGGTCTAACCGGCGTTTCAAGAAGGGATCCTCTTACAAGCTGCTTATGCCTATGTTGCATACATTGCGCCCAGGCGGGTAGGAATATCAGCAGACGCGATTTGCAGGAATCACGATACGGATGATCATGCTGCTCAGAGACACCTAGCATGATTTTGGGGGTGTAGGGCTCCGAGCGAGCAGGTTTCTCCGGTGGAAGAGCCTGCGGCCCTCACCAGCACCTGAAAATCATTCATTCCTTTGCGCTGAAGCTGGAACCTTTTGGGCTGAATCCCAGATCCTGAAGCGCTTAAATGCCAACACAGGGGAATGCTCTGAGAGGTGCCCAGATGAAGAGGTTCAAAGCCAACCTGATGTAGTAGGACCGTGGAATGCCCAAGATGTTGCATGGGATCGCAACTTCAAGTTTAGAATCCTCAGCTTTATAAGGCTCAAAACCGAAGCTCTGATCGATCAAACACTACTGGTCACGCACACATCGACGCGCTAATCTGAAGCCCAAGACCTCGACTCCAAATGCTGAATGTCGCGGGGCCTGGGCAACCGCAAATAACGTGATACAACTTCTCATGATAGCCCTACATTAGTAGGTAACATGCGAATATAATCCCATTATATACGCCCTGTATAATGTTTTCCCTTATTCCCTATTAACCCCAAGCCCTGCATATTCCCTCATTACCCACAAACCCCCAGTAAGATAACTCCTACATCAAGCTCTTTGCCAGGCTCTTCCTTCAGCAGGCGCGGCAGGTGGCCCTGTGCTTTGCAGCGGCCATGGGTGATTTTCCCAAGCCGATCGGCTGCCTCAGAATGTGGTTTAGGGATTCAAAGGATTTCGGGATAGGGGATCAGGCCTCAGCGATCTGGGGGTTATGCAGTTGTGGTCAGGGGACTTCGGGCTTCGGGATCTCAAGGCTTACATTGTTTAGGCATTTTTTAACACCTGCACAGCCATGAAGGTCCAGACGAAGTGTGCTGCAATCCTTCACTCAACCGTCTTTCCACGCCTCGTATAGGCAGACTCCCTGGTCTGTCCCCCAGAAAGCAAAAGCTGCTTGCTGAACCTCAAGACCCATGCCCAATGCCCCCAACGGTAAACCCTACAGTCAGAAGCTCCTACACAGAAGAGAGCCTGCACCCTGGGTCTTATATGGGTAGTTCCCAAAATTAGGTTCCCATTTTGGTACCCTTGAATACTAGGCGCCGTGATATAACCTATAACCAAAAGGGGCCCACAATTTTGGGAACTACCCTAAACCCTAAACCCCTAAAACCTAAACCCTAAGCCCTAAACTTCATTGGAAGAACCACCTCATGCAAGCTGAGGGATGCACGGACAGCTGTGTCGAAACAGCTGGCTTCTGGAAGGGCATTCTTCACTCCGCACCGGCACCTTGGTCATGCGGGGTTCAGGCTTGGGACTTGTGGGCTGATTTATTATACTATGATATACTATATTATTTTATAGTATGTTATAAAGTATTAGACTGTCCTAGATTGTATTATACTATACTATACTACACTATAATATATCATATAATACAGTATAATATCATATACCCTGATATACCCTAAGATTTCCAGGGCTGGACGCACTTCTTTACAACGCTTCTTCGCGCTTCAACGGAGAAGACGATGCAAAGACCATCAAGGAGACCTCTCATCCTTGCACTGTTCCTTTTAACAGATGCCCTCGGCTAACTGGTAGTTTCCCAAAATAGGGGGACCCCAATATAGAGCCCCAATATACTATAATCCTCATTATAGGGACCCCTAAAATGGTACCCCTAATTTTGGGAAACCCGCAACTATGACTATGACAAGGGGCCTTGCAGTTTATCCATTTGATGTTTGCGGTAGGGAAGTTGATTTAGGGGAATGCTGCTGCACGAGAATGCCGAGAATGCATCCCGCTGGAGTCTGCAGTACTGTGCCCTAACAATGACAAGATCCGTACATGGAAGCACTATATCCGTGGAAGCAGCAACCCTTCCAACAGAATCTTCCTCCCTACTCCCGCACTCCCTTGGAACGTCGTAAAGGCTATGCTGTGCAGCCTCTACAGCTTTCTATCCATCCCCTCAACATCCATAAAACCACTATTACTATTACGATTATTATTACTATTACTATTACTATTACCATTATTATTACTATTACTATTACTATTACTATTACTATTACTATTACTATTCCATTGGGTCTCTTTGGGGGTAGTTTGGGGAGCATCTCCCAGGCAAAGCGACCAGGTTCGCATTGCCAAAGCCTTCATCTCGCGCCTGAAGGAGATGGGTCAGACTCTCATCTTCTTCTGTAGGGTACCCAAGAAATAGGTCCCTTTAAAGAGGATATATAGGGATATATAGGGGTATATGGGGGTATATAATATGAGGTTTAGGGTTTAGGGTTAAGGGTCCATGTACCCAAGAATTGGGTACTCAGGGTTTTGGTAATAGTGATTATAGTACAGGTTTTGGGTAAGTATATGATTATTAGGTACTTGGACCCTTAGGGGAAGATGCTTCGGGTGGTCATGCAATGGCTGCAACGGTCTCCCAGTGTAGGTGTATGTATGCTTGTATGTATATAGATATATAGATGCATACCAATACAGATACGTGTGTACGTATACACCATATCGTAATATCAAGCTACGGAGGCGCCAATCGGAGGGCGTGAAGAACAAAGAGGGATGTAACTGTCTAGAAAGGAGTATCAGGGCTTATCAGGAAATGTAGGGGAATACCATCGAGTAGTTCAGCCCTGAATGTCGGAGAACATACATATACATGCGCATACATGTACATGTATACCTGCCCGTATATGTGTATATATATATACACATGTATTATATGTATTTGCATCTGTATGTACACATGTTGACGATGTATACACACATATATATATATATGTATTCAGGAACTTATCCTGAGGGATTCTGATATGGTCCTGATGGCTGTCCCTCCGATGCACCCATGCGCTCATAATATCCAGTGCCTTTTTTGAAGAGGGTTTGCCGCCAATTTCATATGAGCTATAGTCTAAACTACTTAAAGGGGGTTATATAGGGGGGTATATAGGGGAGTGCTACAGGGGTAATTAAGGGGGTACTAGGAGTTTAGACTATAGCTCATATAGGGTCTTCCTGGCATGCTGCCAAACACGAAAGTTCTCATACTGTGGAGCCTCCAGACGCATGGATGCGGTGATGTAGGTTACAAGCATATGTCATAGCGGCGCCAAGCACTAAAGAGGGGGTGCAGGCTTGTATACGGGTTGAATCAAGATCTGCTAGGATTGGGGAGCACAGGAGTTCAGCGAACTCCTACGGTTTTATATAACCCCAATACAACCCTGAACCCTAAACCCTAAATAGTAGTTTCCCTTTGATTTCCATTATCCCCATATTACACCCGAGTAGAAGTGGGATTTGCAGCCTGGGGCTTCAGGTGTCGCTCCGTGCATGGGGATATCTGTGTTATATTGGGGTAATACTGGGATAACATAGGGTGATATAGGTTATATAGGGATAATGGAAAAGAAAATGGAAACTACTATAATGGGTTATATAGGCCGGTTGTGAGGCATACATGGCGTTCTTTCTTGGCTGTTACTTGCGAATAGCTGGCAACCACGATAGGTGCATACTTTTGCAAAGTACCGGCTCGGCGAACAACTTGCAAAAAACTCTGGCGGGTTGCAGTATATGTCGACTGTAGGATAGTAGTAGAGCACCAACACTTGAACAGGGTTTGAAGGTCTTGGGCCAGTATGAGAAAAACCAGAGGAAACCTCGATCCCGGCATTATTCCCACCTTAAAGACCTCATCCCTTTTACAGACCTGCGGTTCAGGCGCCTTCTGCCGGGAGATTGCCGCATGGAAAGCAGTGGGAACGGGCTTCGGCCAGCTCGTGGGAGAGGAGGCATGACGAAGGGGGCCTTGGGATGGAATTAGTGGAGGGGTATGGTCTAATCTTGCGGCTCTTTGCGGAGCCTCTTTTGGGTAAGTTTAGGGGGATCTTGTGGGGGTGTTGTATAGGGCTTTCAGCGTGTGTGGAGGTTCCTTCTGGGGTTTGGGAAGAGCGTTTAATGTTGCTTTGATCACTTTGATCTGGCATCTAGATTGTGCGAAAATTGCAAGGTGATAGTATAAGCATGATTGAATTGGGAACAGTGATGCAGCGAGGATGCGGCGGTTAGTATGCTCTGAAGCATTGGGATTAACTAGTCACACTAAACAGGCAATGTGGAGCGAACCCAGGTTTGATGCAGGTGGGCTGTATCATGTTTTTTGCTCAGCTTGTATATTAGAGTTCTACTGTGCATTGGCGGGAGGCGAGGTACATGAAGGCCCAGGTGCTATCAAATGCCTCGACGTACTACAGATCCACGTGCTCTGCCAGCAAATCTTATTCTCAGTTGAGTAGTCTTTGATTTGGGGGTATTCTGGTACCCAATATAGAGTAAGATTATATCCTCCTTTTGGGGTATAGTATTTTTTTTATAAGGAATATAATCTTACTGGGTTCAACCACCAAAAAAAACGCTACTCAGTTGTCTCGCAGGTCGTCGCATGCAAAAACTCTGGAGGGTCGACGGACTACAATCCTTCAAATGTTTGCTGACCGCCAACTGCAGCTGCTGTCCGCCCTTCTACAGAGAACCTTAAGCGCGTACGGCCCGAAAACCTCCAACCCCTAGCCCCTCAAGCCTTGAATCTACGACCGACAAATTTCTGAGCAACACATTCAGTGATCATCCAAACAGCCAAAACTCCCAAACCCTATCCCTTCCAAAAAGCTGACCCGGCATCTGAAAAGGCAACGGGAACAACTACAGCCCGTTTAGAGGGGGCCTACCTCAGGCTTTTGGGGGTGGTAAGTGCTTTCGAGGCCAAAGCACCTCGTGGACGTCCTGGACGTTCGGGGAGAGGAGGGAGGACGGAGATGTTAAGATGACTTCCAAGATTCTTCCATAAGGCCTTCAGATTCACGGTTTGCAGATTACTTCGCAAGCCCTGTTTCAAGGGAGTGCTGCAAAACAACCTACCCCTTAGTTATTATATTTAAGGGGCCCCTACATCTTGGAAACCAGCATAAAAGGGCTTAGTCTTGCGGGGACGGGGAGGTTCTTTGATGTAGGGGCGGTTACCTTTAATGATTTTGGGTTTGTTTTGTGGCATCCCCAATTTTTGGAAGCCTTTACAGGATCCACATATATGGGAGTCTATCTAAGTATTCCCTATAACATCCTTAAGGGCAGACCCGGGCCTGCCATAATAACCTTGTAGCTCCTATAGATCCCCAGGGGTGTTGGATCATCCCGAATTGTTGGACCCATATCCCCACACACTGCTAAGCCCCTAGATAAACCCAGTTTCCATTGCATGCTCTTTTTCTTTTCTATGTAATCACCAATCATTATTGGGCTGAAACCCTTTAGCCCTAAACCTTATGTATCCCTATACACCCCAAACTCTATGCATCCCTGTACAACCCCAATGCTGGGCACTAATATGGCCCATATGAGCTACTGTCAGTATTAGGCAAAAAAAGAGTGGACATAGGGCTAGTTCAGTATAGTCATCATATTCCTTAATACAAAGCCCATGTCCAAAACCCCAAACCCTAGACCCTAAATCCTTGCCAAATCCTAAATCCTAAGCCCTAAACCCTAAATCCTAAGCCCTAAACCCTAAATCATAAACCCTACATCCTGAGGGAAATTTGATTGTAGCTCACATCTGACCCAAAAGGGGATCTACGTCAGGAGATCCCAAACCACCAGGATGAAGTCTTCGCCTCAGACGTGCACCAACAGCCTTGGGGGTTTTGGGGCTTGGGATTTAGGATTCGGGTTCGGGTTAAGGATTTAGGGTTGAGGGTTTAGGATTAAGGGTGGAGGGTTTAGGGTTGAATGTCTAGGATTTAGGGTATAGAGTTTAGGGCTTAGAGTCTAGAGTTTAGGAATAGGCATTCTCGGTGACCCTGTAATCTGCAACACTTCGCAAAGCTTGAGCCCTGCGTAATAATTAGCCAGTACTTGGCCTCCAAGTAATCCCCATGGGCTCATTACCCAAGACCTTGGACTTAGGACCCCCGCTTCGATGGTAGCGGCCCGAGACACATTTGCCGGATGCCAAGTACCAGGTAGGCACAGTTGGGCCAGGTGCAGGATAGAAGAAAGGGGTTTTCAGGGTTTAGGGAGCCAGGCAAGAATAGCACCACCCAGGAGTGTGAGGGTCCTAAGCAACGAGAGCATGTAATCCCGATACAACCCGTGTAAATTGCTAGAGCAATGTACGAAGTTTTTGTGATTCCACCAGGCGAGAGGTCGCGTGTGTGTAAGGTCGTTCTCTACACTCCCGAGCAAGACGGCGACTTGTCGGCAAGATTCATTCAAAAGCATCGGCATCGGGCTGCTTCACACTTGTCTACACCTAATGCCGTTAAGAGTTTAAAAGGACTGTTCTTGCGGCACAGTTTTGTCCAAATCTTGTCTTGACCTGAACCCAGCCTTGAACCGTGTTGGTACAAGCTTCTGCTTTCGGAAAGATCGTTAGATTTGCGCTGGCCTGAGTCGGGGGCATGGAGGTTTGGGTCTTGCCCCTCGTTCCTCTGAAAGCTAGGGCTTTCAGTTTAGATTTGTAGGTTCACTTTTTCTTCTTTGTGGCAGCTGTTCCTGGAGATTGATGAGATTCATGCAGCAATAAATAGTGTAAGCCTGCAAAAATCGGTACTCAACCCTGAATTGGGTCCATATATGGCAACTGTCACTGTTTTTGCTTAAGGGGCCTGGTGAGTACGTACTTGAGTAGAATTGGCCGAAGAAATCTCCACCAAAGAAGCATCAGGCGCGGCAGATGCTCCTTGAAAGCGTATCTTCGTAAAAGCCTAAAACCTGTGTGTGAGATTGTAGAAATACAAGCTTTGACAACCACCATTGCAGCGCCAGGCGTTCGTGACACAGAGCTCCGGAAGGCCTCAGGGTGTAGCTTGAGGAATGTAGGGCTCTAGACTGGAGCTCTCACAAGCGAGTTCTGAATCCAACCCGAAATCCACTGAAGCATGCTTAACCATACCAGGGTTCTACGAATACAATGGCCTGTAGTCTTTTGAGGATTTGAGTTTCGAGCAGGTTGATTCTGGAATCCTGGAAGAGGTCAAAGCATGTGTGCTGCCAACAAGAAGTAGCAGCTCTAGTCTATTGATATTTGTCAGGGGTAGAGCTTACTCACATTTCCCTTTGTGGTGGTCTTGATCACCTTGGACGCCTCATTACAAGCAATCATCCTGCGTAATCATAGATGATTCCTGTTCCAAGTCTTGAGGCCCACTTAGAGATCCATGGATACAACCCTAAGGGTCCAAGCACCCAATTATCATACACTCACCCCAAACCTGTACTATAAGTACTATTACCCAAAACCCAAGTATCTAATTATTGGGTACTTAGCGGAGTGCAGATTGAAATGCTATAGGCAAGGCTGTGAGCTTACGAGCTCCTTCAGGCAACGGCTCCCTGCCCTGGATGTCTTGGGCCACTTCGGACACCCCTCTTGTATGCTCTAAGGAAGGTACAGTGGCTTTATAGGGTTTAGGGGTAAGTTCTAAGGAAGGTACGGTGGCTTCATAGGGTTTAGGGGTAT